ATTTTAAGTTATTGTCAGTGTAAGTATGTATGGTGCTTTAGATTTTCCCTGATGTTACTTATTTGCTATTTGTTCCATGCTTTTTAACTAGTTTCTTTTTAAAACTTTCTGAGCTATTTTAAGAAAAATCATTAGCTGGGTAGTGGCAGCACATGCCTTTAATCCCAGCACTCAGGAAGCAAAGGCAGGTAGATTTCTGTGAGTTCAAGGCCAGCTTGGTCTACAGAGCTAGTTCCAAGACAGCCAGGGCTACACAGAGAAACCCTGTCTCAAAAAAACCAAAACAAACAGACAAACAAAAAAACCAAAAAGAAAAAAAAAAAGAATGCATTGTACATTGTTGCCTACTTTACTTTCCAGAAATGTATTTGATATAGTAATATTTAAGATGTATTAGAAATAGACTAATTTTTGTTGTAAGCTGTAGGTTGAATATTTTCTAAGTCAATATCTTTATATTAAGTTTAGTCTGTACTGATAATTAAACATATTTAATATCTCTTAAAAGGCTGGGGAATTGTGGAATAATCCTTCTGTGGTGAATATTATTTTTGATTGCTATCACTTTTGCTGACATAAAGCTAGCTTCCCTTTTGTTAATATTAGAAATAAAAGTTAAACAAAATTCAGAATAATATGAAATATACTAGTATTTTTAAATTCATTACTCAGTTTTGTAGGCATAACAGTTTGTCAGTGTTTGAATGACTTAATTCAAAGTGAGAATCATTTTCCTATGCAGTTAGTTACCATAATGGGCTTTAACAACATATAACAAATATTTTTCTGTATTTTAATGAAAAGCATTACATTTAGGAATGTTTGTAATTCATAGTGATTATATGTAAGGTAGCAGCTCTAAAACAGAAGTGATGTGTGTTTGTGTGCATGTATGTGTCTGTACGTTTGTCTATATCTTATGTATACCATGCTGCAGATTGAATCCAGTAACTCATGCATGCTAGAAGCCTACCATCTAAGCTACATTCTCAGCCTTTATATATTTAAAGAAGCTAAAATTGAAATTATGTATGTACTTTATAGGTTCAATACTCAATAATCAACTCACTTGTGTAAAGTTTTTTTTCTCCTTTTGTAGAAGACTAGGGAATTGTTTTTCCTGTTTTAGTTCTTTGAGACAAGAGTTTCTTTGTGTAGCTGGAACTTACTCTGTAGACCAGGTTGGCCTTGAACTCACAGAGATCCACCTGCGTCTGCCTCTCAAGTGCTGGGATTAAAGGTGTGCATCACTTACCGCCTGGCCACAGGAATTATCTTTTAAAATAAGTTTCAAAGCTAGGCTATATTGTGAGTTACAGGGTAGCCAGCCAAGCCAGGGCTACATAGAGAAACCCTGTCTTGAAAAAACCAAATAAAGAGAGAAAGAAAGAAAGGAAGGAAGGAAGGAAGGAAGGAAGGAAGGAAGGAAGGAAAGAAGGAAAATGCAGGATAACCATAATGAACTAAGTATACTACAATCTTTGCTGCCATACATAGAGCCCAGTGAAGTTGGGAGAAAGAACATCTTCACAAGGCTATTACAGTAAATTAAAACCGTTATTACATGGCAGAAGCACTGAACTGTGTAAAAGTATAAAGATGCACTGCAAGTAGAAGTCTAAATGATGAACAGGGGAACAGGGGTTAGTCTAGTGGTGTGGCAGAGAAATGTATAGTTTTCATTTAACTTTAAGCAAAGTTAACGAGTGCTATATGAAGTAGTTTAGGATAATTAGAATATTAAATAAAAATGTCCACATATAAAATATAAGTAGCTGTTTTTGTACTACTAATATTTGTATGCATTTAAGTAATTATTTTCTTTTGAAAATGAATTTTATTTTATTCATTTACTTTTTTTTATTTTTCAAGACAAGATTTCTCTGTGCAGCCCTGGAATTTGCTGTCCTGGAACTTGCTCTGTAGACCAGGCTGCCTTCCAAGTGCTGGGATTAAAGACACATTTGTTGTGACTGCCCCAATGAAAATGAATTTTAAGTAATTACATATAATATCTACCTAATTCCAACTGTAGTCATTCAGTAATAGTGTATGGATTGATTATAATCCATTTTAAAACTTGATTCTATTTGGTAACTTTTAATTTGAAAAACCGGTATGACATATTTGTAATCCCAGCAGACTGTGTCAAGAGGATGGTGAGTTTGAGACTAGCCTGAACTAAAGAGAGATATCCTGTCTTCAGAAACCAAAGGAAAGAAAATAAAATAGGAAAATTGGAGTCATGTAGGTTCATGTAGTGCCTTGTTCAAGGTCTTGGTTCTAGTCCAGCAAACAAATAAGACCCAAGCATTAGTCAAATATGTGAATTCTGTGTAATAATTTAATTTTATTTTCTGTTGAAAAGAATGCTAATATAAGATCCTAATAATGTAAAATATCTTATATGAGTTTGTACAATTGAAAATTACTCTGAAATTCAGTTGATAATTTAAATATATGAGTATTATTCAAGTTGCTTGGATTTTTTTTTTCTTTCTTTCTTGGATACTTTGAAGTCTGGATCCTTCCTTTATAATTACGAATTTTTGAGCCAGGGAGTGGTGGCACATGCCTTTAATTCCAGCACTCATGAGGCAGTGAGCAACAGGCAGATCTCTGAGTTTGAGACCAGTCTGGTCTACAGAGCAAATTCCAGGACAGCCAGAGCTACACAGAGAAACCTAATCTTGAGAAACCAAAGGGGAGGGAGGGAAATTCTTGTTTGTTTTTGACACAGTGTCTCACTATGTAGCCTTGATTGGCCCGGAGCTGGCTGAGTAGCTGGCCTTGAATGTACACAGAGTTCTGCTTGCCTCTACCTTCTAAGTGCTGGGATTAAGACATTGGGCACTATACCCTGTGCTCTCTCTGGTGTTCTCTCTGTCTCTCCATGTCTCTCTCTCTCTCATGAATGTCTGGTAGTTCATAACTGCCTGTAACTCCAGCTCCAGAGTCTGACACCCTCTTTTGCCACTTTGGGATCCTGCATGTAAAATGTACACACCTACATGCAGTCACATACATAAAAAGAAAAATAAATAGGGTCTTATTCTAGGCTGGCCCATCAGGGTCCACCCTGGGCAGCCTCCTGAGTGCTAGGATTAAGACATTTGCCATCATGGCTGGCTATTGTTACAACTCCTGACTTAAATAACAGTGTTTAGTCAGTTCTGTGATAATGATTTTGACTTTATTATTAGAAAATTAAAAAATTAACCTCATTTTCTATATTTATACATCTTTAAAATCACTAATTTGAACTTTTTTGTGAGTGTAAGCAAATGGAGGGGACCAAGTATAGACTGTGGGTTGTTATAAATTAGGTGTTACTGAGATAAGTTATAATTGACACACACATAAACAGATAGCGGGGACTAAGTATTGTCTGTAGGCTGTTAAAAGTATAAATCAAGACCCTACTGAGGTAATTTATAATAGACACACTCATAAATTAGTTGAGAAAAAAAGACTTGAGATGCACCTAATGTGAAAGAGAGCTTATTTGAGTAACATTTACTGAGCTTTGCTAAAGTTATGGCCTGTCATTATCTTGTTTATTTTTGTTATAAACACAGGATAGCTGAAGGAGTTAATGTATAGAAGTTCATGTGTCTTTTTTTTTTTTTTTACATTCTTTTATTGTTTTAGATGTTAGTTGGTCTTGGTTTGTTCTTTTGTAAAAACAAAACAAAATAAAACAAAAACAAAACCAGAGTCAACACAGTGGATCTCACTACCTGGGAAAGCCTCCATTTCCTTTTGAGAAGGCATTAGATTGCAACTAAAGTATTAGCATCTAATATATTTTGTGTTTGTCTCTCTCTCTCTCTCTCTCTCTCTCTCTCTCTGTGTATGAATATATATCAGATAAAGAATGTATGTGTGAATATATATCAGATACAGAGTCTAAAACCAAGGTAAGAAAATACATTGACTGTATTAGGTGATTAAATGCATGTTCAAACCGATCTGTTGTTCCAACTTTAGTAACTGAATGATAACTCAATAGCCAACAGGATGTTCTCTTCTGAGTGCTATTACTTGTGTGGCATATTCATTGCAAATTTCATTGTGTTGTAGCATTTGTTAACAGCTATGCTAGAAACATCAATACTTAATTTATATCCATCCATCCATCCATCCATTGATTTTTCAAGGTAGGGTGCCTGCGTAGCCCTGACTGTCTTGGAAATTGTTTTATAGACCAGGTAGACCTCAAACTTAGATCTACCTGCCCCTGCATCTGGAGTAACTGGAAAAGGTGTGTGCCACCACACCTAGTTTAATACTTAAATTTTTAAAATGAAGAGCTTTTAACTTTTAAAATTTGGGTTAATATGTATTTTACATCTTTAAATATAGTATTTTACATCTTTAAATATAGTTAATTATTAATTAAATATATTATTATTCAAGTATTTTTATCTTTAAAATGTATTTGAAAGCTGGGTGTGGTGGCAAGCAATCCTCCAGAGGCATACGGATCTCTTGAGTGCATGTCCAGCCTAGCTTACATTAGGAGTTCTAGGACAGCCAGGACTACAGAGAGAGACCTTGCTGCCCCTCCCCCAAAATATTTGAAGCTAGGCACAGTGAGTCATGCCTGTAATCCCAGAATTTGTCTGTAATCCTAGGATTTGGGGGACTGAGGCAAAGGATTACTCTGCGTTTGACCTTATCCTGGGGTACATAGTTGAGACCCTGTCTCAAAAAATTAGAAAAACAGTGTTTGTAACAATAGATCTAGTAATCAGTGGTATAGGATTATAATTAGTTTTTCAGGAACATGACTAATTTCTCATGATTATTCTTCTAAAATACATCTGAATAGTCAAATTTATTGAGAAACATGGTATTGTAAATTAGGTATATTTTTTAACTGAAAAATAGTGAGTGCTTACACATTTAATACTAGAACTTGGGAGGCAGAGGCAGGTGGATCTTTCTGAGTTTGAGGTCAGCCTGATCTACAAAGAGAGTATCAGGATGGTCAGGGAAGCTGTGTCTCAAAAAAACAAAGCCAAACTGACAAACAAAAAATTTAAAGATACATTCATAAAATTGTGACAATTACATCTGAATGCTCATTTTATTTTTTGAAGTGTATACTTTGATAGAGGTTTACAGATAAGTTTATGGCAAGTGGTTATCCAACTCAGTCAGGGAGGTGACTTTGTAAAGATCAGTTTGTAGGTTAGTTCCCAGAGTTAAAATATGGACATTTATTGTTTCTAATTTGAGTTATTAAGTTGCAGAGGTAGAATAGATTGCTACTGTAGTACTGACTTGAGCTCTCTGATTTTAGGTTCTTCAGAAGATGATGAGGTCATTCAACCAGGTTTCAGCAGCCCCAGGTTAGTCCGTTTTTGAAATTCAATGTTTTACCTAACCTCATGCCTTGAAAGAGCAGCAGAGGCACATGAGAGGACTTTACTGCTTGGGAGGATTGGCATCAGATCCTGTATACTCCATCCAGTTGGGTGGCTGGTGGCATGTTCTGCTTGCCCCACCTTCTGTTTGACAGTGTTTGGTTTTGTGTCTTTTTTCTCCATAAGTTGAGCAAGACAGATAACATAACACTTATGGAGACAAATCCATTGGTTATTAATTTCTGGAATTCCCAATATATGCTACCAGATATCTATTGAATTAAAGCTCAGATATGGCATGTTTTCAAATAATTCATTGTATGTAAAGTAGACTTTCTGAGGAAGTTTCTTTCATTTCACTAATCCAGGGAGCTTCATTTATTTTGCTCTTTATTTTAGATACCAAAGTCTGCTTATTATCCTATTGTAAAATGGGATTAGTTAAAGTTAAACCCAGACTTAAGACATGAAATTTTATTTTCTTACATTATTTTTTCAGTAATACTATTATTTGGTAATGTTACCCTGGCATATTCCCTAATGAATTAAAATCCTGTCTGAGATTCGTTAATTTGTTTTTCTTGTCTTGTTTTTGAGAGAGGGTCTTACTATGTGGCCCTAAACCCTAACCCTGCCTGTCCTGAAACTTGCTTAGTAAATGAGGCTGACATAGACCACACAGAAATGTGCCTGTCTCTGCTGTGAGTGCTGGAATTAAATGTGTGTGCCTGCATACATAGTACTGCTGCCTTTTGGCAAGCACTACTTTTGTGTTCGCCAAAAGTTAACATGTTGATGATGCCCTAAATGAGTTTTATGAGAAGAACACTGCTAAAATTTGCTACAAAATGTTAATATATCATTTCCTATCTTAATATTGATTGTGGGGTTTTCCTGGAGGTAAACTGGCATGTTTCTGTTTGGAAAAAAAGTTCCCACCAATGTGTTAAGTGACTGCAATAAAGTTTCTTGCCTGTTTTCTCTTGATGAAAAAGGGAGTTGGAAATGAGGTACTGCTTTCCCTAAAGGGAGGGTGTCCTGAAGGCTGGGCTTTAAACAGAAAGGCTTTGACTGCCAATGAGACAAGGTTTCAAGCAGTTGATGGGGAAACTGAAGCCCCAACAATTTAGTGAGTGGCCAGAGGCTGCCAGGTTGGTGGGACCGAAGCTTCAGCCTCAGATGTTAGCTGGCTGGTTTTTCTCCGGGTTTGCTTCTCACTGTTCTCAGGTTTTATCCCCACCTTTCTCCATCTCCTAACCCTGCTGTGCTAAGTAAACTCTTCAGAGTAAATATTGAAATACTCCTAAGAGGTACACCATCCTCTTTGCAGCTGATCATTTGTTTTTGTAGATGAGGCTTTAAATAATTAACTTGTAAATTATTTTAGGGGAGAGAGAATAAATATGTGCATATTGTGTTTTTCATCTTATAGACTCAGACATTTCTATTTACTGTAAAATGGTCTTAGAATTATGAAGCATACATGTACATGTGGAAAATAGTGCCTGTCACTTTTTTCAATTAAAGTTCTTTTGTGCTATTCTTAATAGTTATGGAAAGCTAATTTATTACTAGAGGATTGTTCACAAAGTTATCATTTTAACAAACATAATTTCAAAAAGTGTTGAGCAAAGCTTAGAAAATATGTGAGAAAAAGAATGCTCCATTTTTTTATTGCAAGAGAAAATGTCACTATAATGATAGTTTTTCAAAATAAGATTTTACACAATGGTGACTTTAAAATAATGCCCCATTTGTGAAATTTATTATTCTAAATTTTGTTTACTTAAAAAGTATCTGACCATAAAAACATTTACTAGTACCTTGTTTTTGAAATATAAGAGTAATTTGAATAAAATTCGTAAGATTTATGGTAATAAGTTTCTCTGTTTCCACAATGGCCTCCGAGCAATATAGTTAAGAGTCAGTAAAGAAAAATTTTAAGAGATTTTTGACAATTGTGAGTAGCTCTAAAAAGAAAAGTTGCTTGAAGTCAGGCCATTTTTGTCTCCCGGTTTAAAAAAAAAACCCCACACCACCAACAACAAAAAACTGAACGAGACCGGAATTTTGCCTTTGGAAACAAAAACAAACGCCTCAGGTTTTGGGGTGCCTCTCCTGACCCACTCAGTTGTGGGCTGGTTCCCTCTGACTCCCTGTGTTAATCCACTGGTGTTACTCCCAGCACTTTGCTGCGACGCGGGCACAGGGTAGAATCGGATCGGTTTTCCTGTGGGCAAGTCGATAGCCAAGCTGCCCGTGAAGATCTCGCGGGGGCACATGGGGGCCCCCAAATACACAGACCTGGAGTCCCCTCCGCCCTCCTGGTTTCCATATCCTCCTGAGAAGGCGCTGAGAACTTGTGGATGTGTTCACTACTTGCCAGCTCCAACTGCAGCCTCTGCAGTTTGCTCATTTTAAGCATGGCCGGCGGGGGCGGGGGCAGTCACTTTCCGAGTTTTTCATGACTCTGCACTGGACCTTGCTTAAGTTAGAACGTTCTGGCGTCTCATAGATAAAGAGGTCAAATTATAAATAATACATGCATAAATTAGGTAAAAAGTCTAGATTGGGGCTAATGTTTTATCCTAGGGGTGATGATAAGAATTTTGTTTGTTTTGAAGAGCAAGCCGACAAATGTTTAAAAGTGCCTTAGTAAGACATCAACAGCCTTCTTTGCAATGACTGGATTTCTAGAAGGAAGATGGTGTAATAAGGGATAAAGGGGAAAAGAGGGTAGGAGACAGAAAGGTGAGGAAGTTGCTAGAAGAAAAGGGAAGGAAGGGGCAGATGTGCCAGCTCAGGAATTGGGCTTGGGAACCCTGGGGGCTGGAGCTCCACCGGAAGGCGCTCGCTGCTGAGGCAGAGCTAGGGCTAGAGACCTTTCCTCCTTGCTGGCACAGGTCTCAGCTGTGGCGCACTGCTTCATAGTTTTCATAAGAACTCAACCGTGTTTATGTTTTAATAGAGTCACACGTTGCTTCTAACAGAAGCAAGGATGGCAGTCCTTCATTATGTTGTCGGGGTGTACCACCTTTTAAAACTTGGGACCCTAAGTGTGACACGCAAAGGCCATGCAATAGATTGCTTTTCATCTCCCTCCTGTGTTGAGTTGAGGAGTGAGTGTAGGACTTGAGCTAATTTTAAAGACGTTTTGGAAGAGCTATGATAAATCAAGCTGTGAAACATTTGGCTTTTGAAGGTTTAAAACATGCGTTTTAGTCAAACGCAGGTCTTTCTGGCACTAAAAAACAAGTAGGAAATGAGAAAAAAATTAAAACCAGAAGACGTGAGAAGGTGACAAATTGAAAAGCATTGTAGGAGACTCAGTAAGAACCATTTTATGAGAAAGAAGGACTCTGAGCCTTAAGAGCTTATGGTCAGTTTATAAAAAGGCTCAAAAGATTTGGGAAGGGACAGACAAGAATAATCTACTTAAAAGACAGCGCCCTAGTCCTGAGTTGATGAGGTTGTGTTTCCTTCTTTTCTCTCCCTTTCCCACTTCCTTCCTGTTTCTTTCTCTTGCCTCTTTCCCTCTCTTTTCCCCACCCCCAAGGTATGTAAATGGCTGTGCCTTAAATTCTTTGTGAATGAATTTTAGAGGTTTTCTCAGGGTTCCTAGTTGGAAAAGCCTCTACATAACTTGAAAGGCTGATGTCCCTCTCAGGAAGTGAATGAATTGATAACCTCTGACACCAGTGACCAGTCTGGTGAACCCTACCTTAATTAATGCTTTGAATACTGGAGGCCCCTAATCAGGCACAACTGTGAATCCCATACTGTACCATCCAGTGTGGTTCAGCACTGGTGTACCTATGTTACATATACCTCCAATATATCTGAAATTTGGCAAATTTAAGAAAGGAAGGACTCAGAATCCCCTTCTTATTGTTTCATTCTCACTAGTAAACTAACTTGTAGATTAAATGTAATTTACCATAATCAACCCAAAATTTACAAGCCTGTTAATTTTACGGTACTTTTTCATAAATAATAGCGCTATCCCAATTTACTTGAATACCTCTTCAGGTTATTTGATATTAGATTTTTTAAAACATAATTCTTTAAATTACAAAAAATAGCATTTAGAATTATATATTGTAACAAGCTTGGCAACAATCCATTTCTATTATTAAAATGCTGTTTAGTAAATGCTTTGTTAGCAAACAACCTCTTCAGAATGTGAGACTTGTTACACTTGGAAAATCATTTGGATTTTTAGGTTTTTTTCTCTCCACCAGCTGGCACATTGTTATCCTTCTCCAAACAAATAAAAGCTTGCCTCCTTCCTGAGAATGACAAAAGAAACAGATGAAAAAAAATCTTTCCAAATTGATCAGTTTTAATTGACACCATTTATCACAAACAGCTGAAAATAATTTCTTTATGTACTGATTATTTTCAGATCTGGGCCAATTAGTTTAAATTTATTTTTAGTTTTTCAGTATGTTAATAGGTGTATGGCCTTTTCATAATCCCAACATTTTAGCTTGTGTGAAGCATTGTTAGAATGTAGGCTTGCTTGGAGAGATGGGGGTGAGGGGGTGCGGGCATGGTGGGGGAGGGTCAGCTGGTAGCTTTGAAGAAGGGAAGTGGTATCTACAGTTTTTCTGTAAACTGCTTGTTTAAGAAAATGGGGGATGGGGCAGCAGAAGGCTGGTGGAAGCCTTATAATGTTTCAAAACAGGTAATGTTTTATATCTTAAAGAAGCGAAACGTTTCTTCATATATAATATCTTTCGAAATTTCGGTAAGGTGGTTAAAATATCATTATAAATACAATACATCCAATTTGAAAATCAAAAAGTGTTTTGATGCAGGGGCTAACAGGAAGGGACGGAACGAACCGAGAATTTGACCGTTCTGCTTGCTGGCAATAGACTTCTAAGATGTCAGGGTCCAGTTAATATTACACCGATTTACCTTTCCCCAATGTGCTCTGTCCCCACCCAGCAGTGCAAGCTTGTTTCTTCTACAGTCGCCTCTCCTGCATCACATCTCTCTTCACCTCCTCACGCCTCTCCCCTCCCCCTCTGCCTGAGTCTCCTGCTCTTGGGGAACAATCACCACTGATTGAGGTTCACCCTATGTTAGGCTGGAAAACTGGGCTGTTATTTAGGAAGTCATTAATCACATCTCCTCCCCCGGAAAGAGATGGCGGAGAAACCTGTGAAGTACAATTTCTTACTACACCTCTCAAAAATATTCTGAAATGAACAGCTCTATTTGATAGGAAATTAGTACCGATTTTTTTCAGTAGAATTTTATTTTAAATTTGAAAAATTCAGGTTGTAATTAGGTGTGCTTTTGCCTTTTGGTAGGTTTATGTTACCAGCATCTGAAGTTAATGGTTAACATAATTTTTAATTTGGACTTAAGAAGTACATATTTTCCCCCACGAATTAAATATTAAATTAACGTCCTTAAGGTGGCTTGGTGCTATGGAATAGAAGATTGCCCGTGTGGTGTGTGCGGGAATCATAACGTCAGTTTCTTCATTTAAATGGCTCCCCCTGTGAGATTAGAGAGGCTTGTATGTGGAGCACGCGTGTGCACAAATACCGACTATCGCTTTTCTAAACCAGCAATTCACAAGGACCCTTGGTTGTGTTTAAATAGTATAAAATTAGCATTCTGATTAATCGTAAAGAAGCATCGCAAATTGTCTTTAAGGGAACATGTTTGAGTCTTCCGTGTTCATTCATAAATTATTTTGATGTCAGCACAGATGAAATGGCGATTGGTTATCTCTTCCTCTTGCCAGCCCCTTAAGGATCCGAGGTGAAATTAGTAGCAAGAAAGCATGTAATTGACAAAGTCACGTGTGCTCAGGGGGCCAGAAACTGGAGAGAGAAGAGAAAAAAAAAAATCAAAAGAAGGAAAGCACATTAGACCATGCGAACTAAATTCGTGATCGCACAAAATCAAGATGTTAGGCGGATGCTGAAGATCACTCCGGTCCAAAGGGAAAGTTTTCATCTTTCGAGTTTGAAGCTGAGGGCCGGTGGGGCAACATGGCCGAAGGTTAATTTTCTTTTCTATTGTTTTACTGTGATTTCTTTCTTCTTTTCTCCCCTGCTTCTCCTCACTGCCCAGTTTCTCAATCCTGCTCGCCTGTCCCCCTTTACCCTAATAACTGGGCATTACCTCCCCACCCCCTCATAGTGCCATGGGGATTCGGCAAAAACCTATTGTTACAGATCTCCAAAATGTTTTGTACCGCCCACACTGATTCACAACTTGAAAAGCTTTCAGGGGGCTATTGTTTGAATTGTGCGCGTGTGGTTACGCGCAGTTTAAATTAGTGAGCCCAAGAAAACTTTCATACACCTGCCCCTTCCCCCATTCTACCCTAACTTTAATTGAAAGTTAGGGGGAGGGGAACGAATGCACATTGCAAATAACCCGGGACTCCTGTCTGCCGCATGTGCATTAACCAGTAGCCAACCATTCTAGGGATTTCTCTTTTCTCTTCCTGCTTGCTAGGAAAACTAACCTTGCTGAAAAATTACTCAATGTAAATTGGAATAGTATTAGGTCAGCAATATGTGAGTGAAGTGTCACAGGCTGTAACTGTAGAATGTTACGGAGCAACGGAGATAGATCAAAAAGTCTGCGGATGTCCAGAAACGTGGACGCTGGTGTGAGCCATGCAGCAGTGTGGCTTCCTCTCCCTGGCTTGGCTTTTAACCCTTTTCCTTTTAGACATTTTTTAAAGAAGGAAAACACTTACCAACTTTTTGTGTTCTTGCTTCTCTTACTCTTTCACAAGCAAAAACTTTATTTTATTTTATCTTTTTGGTTAAGCACAGTGTAGAAATGCAGACTAACCGACTTTTTGTCCTATTCCATGTCAGGAGGGGCAAGCAAAGGTGAAGAGCCAAAAAAGCTGCCTGAGCCGGCCGAGGAGGAGTCCCAGGTTCTGCACGGAACTGGCCACTGTAAGTGGTTCAATGTGCGCATGGGATTTGGATTCATCTCCATGATAAACCGAGAGGGAGATCCCTTGGATATTCCAGTGGATGTATTTGTACACCAAGTAAGCCAGACTTTTTAATCACCTCTTTGCCTGGTTACATGTGTGGGAGCTGGTCTCTGATTATGTTAATAGACATTAAAAATGCCCTCTGAAGTATATTTAAAGATGAAAATACTCATTAAAATCAGGTGATTTTAATGTACAGTTTTTAGGGCATGTGTACGTTCCTTCTAAGATATATTTTTCTAGATAAAAAGTGAAGTCTGATGTTTCACTCATTGATGTGATTTAATAAACCTTCCTTTCATTGAACAATGAAATTGCATTCTAGCATCCAGTATTATTGGCTTCAGATTGCCTGTGCCTAATGAATGAATGGGAAGTTCAGGAAGAAGCACCGTGGATCCTTGAAAGTTTTTAAAAAGCCAAACAATAAGCTTGTTGGAAGAAAGTATGGAGCACACTATATTTAGATACTTCTAATGACAGTACCATTTATACTGTTTTATCTTCTATAGGCATTTGCAAAATAATTTGGTTTTATAGTAAAATGAAGTAGAAAACCAATAATGAAGAGTGGGTTTAAAGACAAACCAGAAAAGATTTTTCGTACCTAAACCTTTAAGAACTGTTCCTCTTAGTTCATTGATCCAGGGATACTGTCTCTTTAAGAGAGTGAACTTAAAAAAAAAAAAAAAGAAAAGAAAAAAAGGCAGCCAAAGGCTGTTTAAAGCCTGATACTTGGTACATAGTAAATTTCTACACTTGTGTTATAGATTTTAAAAATGTTTAAATACCAAATGGAAGATCATTGTTTCCCATTTAAAAAACATTTCCCCAGGAAACAATAAATACCTATTTCTCGTAAATTCCTTTCCATTAACTGATTGCTTCAGAGTTGAGAAGAGTTTATAGTTTTCAGTAAAGGAAATAAAAATTCTCTAGTGAGGTAGGTCATGGACAGAAAGAGGCTATGAGGAAAGGGGTTTATTGGCTTTACCATCTAAGTTTAAAGGAAATAATGGATTTTATATTGCATGTTGACTGGCATAGAATCATGTCTGAAATACTGGTTTCTCTGCTAAAAAGTTTGATACTGTGTTATTTGTTCTCGTTCTTTATACCATACTCACCGAAGAAGATCATTTTAAATGGCAGCTATAACATAGGAACCATTCTGTTTAACGTGCTGTGTTCTGGTACTTTCTGACTTGACTGTCTGGTTGTATTTCTGTTTCCTAAAGGCCTGGTTGTTACTGCTGGCTGTCCACAGTGGAAACATGACATAATCTGTGAAATGAGACAATATAAATAATAAATAGATGCCTGGATATAGCCTACTAAATTTATGTTGCATATTCTGGTGTATTTTTCTTTTTAAAATTTTCTTATATTGAATAAGTAAAGTTGATAAATCTATTTTCTTGGACTCTTCTTCCCTTTTGAACCATTTTTAGGTTGTTAATTTGTTCTTTATGATGTCATAAATTTGTTTTATAGATGATAAATGAAAAAATAGCACTTTTTTCTTTGATCACACCTTGTTATAATTTGGTTTTATTTGTTTGGATATATATATATATACATATGTATATAAATAATTTTTTGTTTTTGTTTTTCAAGACAGTGTTTCTCTGTATAACTTTGGAGACTGTCCTGGCGCTCATTCTGTAGACCAGGCTGGCCTCAAACTCACATAGATTCACCTGCCTCTGCCTCCCAAGTGCTGGAATTAAAGGCGTGTGTCACCACCACCTAGCTTAGAATATATTTTAAAAAGAAATAGAGCTATGTTAAAATACTAGCAATTTTATTATGCTGTGTTAGTGCTTAGACCTATGAAGCATTCATTTACATTATTCTATAGAAACTGCTAGATATAAGAAGTCTCCCAGCTACATATTTTGAATTCAATGTACATAGGAATGTTAATCACATATCTATTAAATAGTTTAAACATTGATTCTTAACATTTCCCTCATATAGCTCTGTACATGTAAAAGGACAGTGCTTAAATGAAGGTCCTTAGCTTTTAAAATTGAGATTGACAAATAATTTATACATAATGTGAGTTATTACATTGAAGAAGGCAGAATTCCTACTGATTTTAGTCAAAGTAAAGGTTATATGGTTGTAAATGGAGTATTTAAGGAATTGTGAACATTACTGGATAGTCAATCCGATTGTGGTTCAGGACTATTATATAACATTTTAAAAATGCCTTTTAATCTAGCTATTAACTTTAATATATAAAAGAACTATGCAGTTTTTTATGTCAAATTTCCTCCTTTATGTTTTTATACTAGTTTGCTATATAAGAATGTGTTTGAATCATAGTTAGAAAATGTAATATTCAGCTAGACCAGTGTTTGTAAAATATTATGTCAGGTTGGCTTTTTAAGATAGTTTGTGTGTCTGTAGGTGATGTGTGCATGGTTGTGTGTGTTGCAGTGCCCTTGTGGAGTTGGTTCTTTCACTCCACAAGTGAGAGAAGGTGTTGAGCTTACTTGGCTTGAGGAACAAGTGCTTTTCCTGTTGCGCTATCTTGCTAGTCTTGTTTCTATCCCAAAGTATATAGTATTCTGAGCACATTTATAATGGTGCATATTTGAAGAATAAATAAATGATTTTAAGGGTCTTTAATCTTTAAAACTGATGCCAAGGAACCCAATAATTCTTTTTCTTAGAGATATTTCCTATAAAGAACTGCATATCATCTATTTCATAACAATTGAGTTGTTTTAATAGATAGTTCTTTGTAGTAAATTTTATATATAGCTCTGTAGATTTGTTATATAATTGTATTCAAATCTGTTGGCATTACTGTAATGAGACTTGCAGTTCTTATGATATCCAAATCCTGGAATTGGACATGTACATAGGGCTGTGCTTCCCCTGACTTTAGATAGGATAGGTAAAAGGAGTGGGATTCAACTGTTGGAAGATAGTGACCATTGGTTGTTTAAAAAGACTATCTTTATGTGATTTCTACTGTTAACATGTGTTTTAAGTGATCATGTTTTTATGGTTAGAAAATTGACATACGTATTCTGACTCATGTTAATAATGAATCAATAATGTTCAGTAACACACTTTATAAAGAACTAACAATGTGTAACTTTGTGAATTTTGTCACATTTCGTTTGTTTTACCTTATGTGTGCTAGGCAAGCATTTTGTTACTGCGCTCTGTATGTCCCCACCTCATAGGAATTGCTCAAGAATCTAATGCAAAGTACCAAGATTTGTTTCAACTGAAGCAAGTATTCCCGGTCAAGGGTCTTACCAAGAAAATTCATCAACTAGAATACAATTATCTTTAAGTGCTGATAGCTAATGCTCCTATCAGCTTCTTTATACAAGTAAGTTAAAAAAATCCCAGCTAAGATCAGACTGTAGGGAGAAACATTTTGTTTGCTTGGACAGGGTCACTGGCAGTTTTTCCTAAATACAAGGTTTCAATGAGAGTTAATTACAATGGAAGATCTTAGAGGAATTTCATGATAAGTAATTTGATATTGATATGTACATTATTCTTTATATAAATTTTGATACTGCCTTCCAAATACTTTTCTCACTTACAAAAGCAAGATCAATTGGATATAACAGACAATTTTTAGTGACCTCTTCAAAACTGATGCTTTTCATGTTGTGTGTTAGTATGTTTGGGATTCTTTTTTTGTTTTTTTGAGACAGGGTTTCCCTGTGTAGCTTTGGAGCCTGTCCTGGAACTAGTCATTGTAGACCAGACTGGTCCTGAACTCAGAGATCTGCCTGCCTCTGCCTCCCAAGTGCTGGGATTAAAGGTGTGTGCCACCACTGCCCGGCTATGTCTGGGATTCTTTGCCACTGAATATGACATAAAATTTTTAATGTAAAATTATTTTTAAGCCTGAAGCATGGCTCAAAGGTTAAGAACATTTTTGTTTCTTATAGAGAACTTGTAAAAAGAACCTGGGTTGTGTTACCAATACCTACATCAGGCAGCTCACAACTGCCTGTGAGTCTCATTCCAAGAGGATTGGACACCTTTGAAAAGACAAAAAAACAAGCCAAAACACAACAGAAGCACATTTTCTGGCCTGGAGAGATGGCTCAGCAGTGAAGAGCACTGACTGCTCTCCAGGTCCTGAGTTCTTTTCAATTACTAGTGTTTTTCTTTTATAGTCTATTTCTTATTTATATATCTGTACAATTTTATTTATATATCTGTACAAATAATGCAAATATTTGCATTACAGAGGTTTTATATGTTTCATGTTCCTCTTTTTACTTGGTTTGAGGAACATCTCATTAATGGAAATAAAAATTAAAAGTAATTATGACTGAGCATACTGATGCATGCCTGAAATCTAGGGGTGTGGAAGCAGGAGCACTAGGAGTTTATTATCAGTACCCACATGGGGTAGCTTACATCCCATTTTTAATTCTAGCTTCAGGGGATCACACATTGTCTTTTTGCCTCCTGGCATGCATATATAAATGTAAATAAATAAATACATCTTTTAAAAAACTCAAAAACATCTGAAAGGATTAAAGATATTTGAGTCTGACATGGTGATGCACACTTTTGATCTCAGAAGCAAGAGAGTCTCTGACTTGGACCCCAGCCAACACTGTATAGTGAAATCCTGTATCAAAACAAACAAACATAGTTGATATTAATAATATATGAAGACATTCACTTCAATGTTTTCATATTTCAGGACTTTTTCTTAATATTATATTGGTAATATGATATTATATTGGTAATGTAATACATACATCGGCATGATTACATTTTTCACATGCTGAATATATGTAATTACTGTTTTTAAGGCTATTTAACATGCCCCTTTCCCTCCTGATGTGAAGGCTCAAACCCTGGCCCTTGGCACTCTAACAAACTCTACCACAGAGTTAACTCCGAAGCCCTCAATACCAGTTTTAAAAACATTAGCTGAATGTGGCGGCTTGTGATCCCAGAGCTGAGAAAGAGTGATCTTAAGCTTGAGGTCAGATTCCAACTACATAGTCAAACTGTCAGAAAAAAAAGAGAGTTTTCAGAACTTTAGGATACAT